TTAGATTCGTTTCGAAAACAATACTAAACAAGCAATAAATTAATTCACATTTAACCATAGTTCACGAAGATATAAACTTATCAAAACAGACAGAAACCAATTAACTTTTGAATATACGATTTCACTTCGATTTTTTAATCTCTTGTTTACATCATAGATATACATTAAAACTAAATGCCACGTATATATACAATAAACACAGCTAATACATCCTTTGAAAATGCGGCAAAGTTTAGATATTTTGTTACGAAAGCAACGTGTCAACACGACATTCACGAAGAAGTCAGAAACAGACGATTTTCGTCTAATGCATTCTGCCACTCAGTTCAGAATATTAGCTTTCTCGGTTCTTACCTACAACAGTAAATACCTATAATTATAACTTTATCCGTAGTTTTGTGTGGGCGCGAAACTTAGCCTCTTATCCTTTAGGTAGAACATATACCGAGAGTGTTTGAGAACAAGGAGCCAAAGAGAATATGTGGACTTAAGAGAACGTTACAGAAAGTTGTATAATTGAAGAGCTTTCTAATTTGTACTCATCACCACGTGTCAGAATGATCTAACCACGTATAATTATGTGGGCGGAACATGTGGTACGCATAGTAAAGACGAGAAATTCATACATTTTTGAAGGGAAATCTGAAGGGTGAACAGAACTTTTGTATATATAAGCACACATGGGAAGATATTGCTATCGATCTAAAAGGACGGAGGACGAGGGTTGAAATTCATCTGGCTCAGGACAGGGACCGGTGACAGATACTTGAAATCACTGCGATTAATTTTCGGGTTCCATAAAAGGCGGAGGATCTTTTAACAGCGGAATGGCTATTTGCTTCTTAAGAGATACGCTACGTGAATTTACATTAAGATAATTGCAGATATGAAACGTAACTAAAGTCCGTTCAACGAAAGATAATGCAAAGTGACAAACGAATTGAATCGCCGGACTGTATCAGCACTCCTGCTTTGTAACTGGGAGACTTCGGGCTCAAATCTCGGCCCGGAGAACGGATAATGACTCTGGTTTTCCGTAACTTTATTTTTAGGTCCATTCAAGAAAATGCCAGGATACTACTTTAAATTAGATCACGACAACTTCCATGACCTTTCCAAATTCATTAATTACCCTAGTATTCAACGTTGTAAAGTCTCAGATATCGACAGCGTCGTTAAATATACCACAAATAAAATCACAAACAAATAAATACACTAATAAATATGATTTAGCGTGAAATGTAACACGTAAAGTAAATTTAATGAACAGTAATAATAAAAATACAAAATTGTAAACACCAACCTCTTGTAAATACGAAAAAGTATTATTTTCAGTGAAAGCAAATTTTGAGAGTCCTGTGCTTGTGGGTTTCAACTAAAACTTTCTTTCCCCAAATCCCAGTCTACTTTCGTCCTCTTGTTTCTCCTGTACTATGGTGAAAATGTATTGCCATGACGACAGGTTTCCCCTTGGCGACAATGCGTTTCTTTGCACAGGACTACGTATGCTTTTCGCCAGGATCTGACGGATAGACTGAATAAAACAAGTTAGGGAATGTACGCACAACGTGATACTTCGTGGGCTTTCGCAACAGTCTGACATTTCACCTTTGTGAATGCAACAATGACTACAGAATTTGTTGGAGTTAATGATCTATGCGCGTGAGGGATACGTCCACGCGGTTATGCGATTCACCGACGTCAAACAGGTACTTGCTGCTTCCATCTTCGGGGCGATCGCTTGGGGAACGGGCGCAGATTTTCAAGACTCTCCGATTTCTATTCTACATAGAAATACTGACATCACCCTTACTTAACGATACTCTGTTAACTGTAATGTTACGTAACGTTGATTGAAATATGATCACGTGATTGTTATGGAGAAAGAATTGAGACGGATGTGGTCGTGGATATTTAAAGACAATGCTAATGTTATCAGCTGGAATAAATATAGAAATACAAGATGCAATAAGGATATTCGGTGTCTCGTCTCACATTTGAAGCGGGCACCTATAAAGTAAAAGTAAGGGTTTTACCATCATATCAACTTCCTGTCTTCAGGACCTGTGTCATGTTAAGTTGTAAATAGGCCTTGGCAGTCACCTCTTTACCTCTTTATCTAAGTCTCGTCATTTTTAATGTATCAACAGAAATTAAAATAAATGTCAGGCACGCCTGGGAGCAGTCTGCATCTATTAGCATCCTTCTAGTTGACGTGACAAAGTGAAGGTATAAAATGTATTTTTGAGTACGTTAACACTATGGGACAAAAATCATAAAAAATGGACCGGAAGATAGGAGACGGATGTCATTTGAAGACGACAAAATAATAACTTTTTATCAATTTAAAACGGTTCCCGTAGGTACTCAGTTTTATTTGATGAGTTTTCACATCCAATAATTACTTCTGAGTGAAATGCAACCATCACATTATAGCATTTGAAATAAAAGAGAGAAATAAATTGTTTGCTTTGAATTACTTTTATCGATATGCACATAAAGCATTTGGCTGCACAATTTTTTATTGTTTATTCACATTAATACATGTTATTTGTTGGCCTACATTGTTTTCGATTGGTCCATGCATTTACAAACGAAATTAATTACAAAAATAATCAAACAGTTTTCTGTATATGCCACAGGTATTAACTGCTTCCGGCAGGCTTATTTATTTACACTAAATGCTGCACCGAAACTAAGTAGTCCATCTGTCTAGGAATCGGCAATTTTTACTCATCTATCTTTTCCGGGAATCTCCCAAACCTCTGCAGACATGTTTCTGGATAAGTTTCAAAAAGGGCATAAAACTGCTTTTCTCTTACGCCTTAAGTATTACAACGGCATTTACTGCTTTCTTTACATTAAATTTATATCACAATCTACAGCGGCTATAAATAATCAACAGCTGACTTATAATAAGAGACCTCAAAATATAACCAGGCTTAGGGCGTGGAGAAGAAATTAATTTAGAATTATTGCTAGTGCTATTAAACCATTGTAGTATTACCACTATCACTAATTCAAAAATCTTTGCTCTTAGTCCAACCAGTTTCCCAACCTGAGATAAAGGACCAAATGGAGATAAAGATGTGACAATATGTCTGTTGAGAAATTATCACTTAACTCAGGACTGGTCGCCATAATGACCCATTTTGCAGCTTCTGTGGTCGTCCATGCTAACAAAACACTGTTTACTGACTTTTATAAGTTTTAAATAATTGATGGATTTATAATCTGTACTTTTTCCAGTAAATCGAAAATTCCAGATAGAATATAAAACATATTAGGCCGTACAACTTCAGCTAAAAAAATGTTGCGTATTATTATCCTGTTGGACTTAACCATCGTCCACACACCTTCCGAAACCACAACGTTTCAGAAGCTGCTTATACTCCCGACATAAGAAGACAGGTCGGAGAACTCGTTAGTCTACTGGGGTCCCCTGTTAGAGCCAGTCTCAAAGATGGTACAGGTTATAAGCCAGACTCTTTGAAAAAAAAAATATGGCAAATTCAGTTTATCGGAATTTAAGTCTAATTCCAGAGAAATCTCGAACCGACAGATTTTATTCCATGCATTCAGCATGCTGATATAATGAAAGGCTTGTACTAATGATACAATTTTTCGGTTTCACAGCAAAACTGGGAACACAAAGTGAGAATAAGTGGCCATGAAGTGTTAATTGATTTGACGTAACAGAAAATTATATTTCAAATGTTCCTATTAAATTCATACAACATTCTATGACGTATCATTTAGACGCTTCCTGTATACAAGCCCCATAGTAAAGCATAAACATGTAAAACTTACGCACACGCATATAGGTGAGAGTAAAGGTTCTCATGGCGCCGAGAACCTCTGAAACGTCTACAAACGTCTACCAGACTACACGGTGCAACATTCCAGAAAACAGTCAGTTATATTCAAATGCATATACATCATATTATACCCTATATATTTCAGTAATTCAAAAGGGCATAAGCTGTAAATATAATACAAACATCAGCTGGCCGTTGTATATCCCAACGGCTACCGGTGTTGGCATTTACAGCAGAGGAAAGAGCACAAATATGTTGCATCCACAGCGAATAAATCCCATCAGGTGCACGACAGCGAAAGTCCAATTCGCGTTAACAGCTGACGTATGAAACAAATCCATCATCCGTCACTCTCCCGTTTTTTATAAGCCGGAAATTAGTTGACATTACGACATAGCGTTGCGGGCAAACTTAGTATAGGGGCATGCACACACGCGCAGTAAATGGCCGCCACCGACGATAAACAGGATTATAAAACTGAGTGATTATCATAACATAAAATTGACACAAACATTCCTGTCACTGCTATCCCAGGGGAGTGAGCCTCTAAAACACATTAGAGAGGACAAGAGGGCATCAAGAAGCGGTTTTTACTCTGTTGGGAATGTCAAACCGTGGTTCATATCTCGTCGCTTTATTGACTGAGTTTATACCAGGTGTCTGAATTGGAAAATTTCCAGTGACTTATTTAACAGGAATACGTTTTTAAACAGCGCGAGATGCAGCGAACAATGAAATTAACTTTTGGACTCCAAAAGAATGGGGGTAATTTCTTGACTAACCGAGTTCCTGAAGATGGATTCTTTTGAGGTATTGCGCCGTGTAGTCTCGTAGATGTTTATAAATGTTTCAGAGGTCCTTGGTGCCTCCATCATCAGGGCTCATAGGCGTGAAAATCGGCCCCAAATAAAAGACAATTTCCCATCACGTACGCAAGATGTGAAGGTAAATAACTGTTCTAGGAAGACCACACAACTTTTACGACATTCGTGTTGTTAATACACGGGTATAAACTTAAATCCACAGACACAGTATCGAGTGGGGTAAAGAAGGAACTCGCTGTATCAGACCAATATTCTTTGTATCACCACCGCCAAAGAAGTTCAACAGCTAACATTTTGTTCACTTGCAACCTTGCTGTAAACACACAAAAACAAACAAAGCAAAATGAATTGTACTCACCGTTGCAGAGTTCAGCTCGTTCTTGGAGGCTTTTTTACGTCGAAGCGTGATGTTGGTAGAACCATTTTTAGCTGCAACCCCTTTTTCATCGCGAAGGTATAGGCGCTGGCTGCAACACAAAATACAGCATCTTAATATATGTAATATCTACATATCATTTCGGAGATCTTGCCAGCCTTATCTTATGCCACTAATTAACTAAATTAACTCTGGTAGCGCGGTCTAATGGTGAAAACCGCTGATACCAAAGCTCCACACAGATTACGATCCTAAGACGGTCTCGTCCACCTCCCACCCCATTTCCGTAAGGGTAGCTACGAATATACTGAAATATCAACGGATCGCTGATATGGGGCAATCTTTATTCCTTGCGCTGGATAAAGAGCTAACAATCCTTGACTTAACGTTCTACGTTGGGTAATAAATAAGCTGCCTTGAGGTACAGAAACATCCGTAATTTATATATAAATATATGATGGACCTCAGCATGTAGCTTAGATAGCTATAAATAAGCAAAATGCATATAGAGCTACATATCGGGAACCATGTAGAAGGCAGTCTTTTAGGAAAGCAAAAGAATATAAAAATATATTTACTGTTACAGACGTGTATGGACATGTTGAATTAACAGAAGTCCATAAGACGTTTCAACAGAAGAAATTCGTACTGGCATGATTCAACCATTCGGTTATATTACAAAGCAATAGTTAGTTAATAGGCATATCATCAAACGAACTGAGGTTTTAAAACTTCCAGCTCTTCTCACGCAAATTCATCAATATCTAAAGAGAAATAAACTAATAGTCAAATTAGCAATTTAAAACTCAATGGTAACATGTATCACCTACTTCAATAATTGGTAACTCTATGTTATACCCACAGAATGTATTTACGGGTTTCTTATAAACCTCATAATAAGCATTAACAAACTAATCTTTGCAATGGACATCTGTTGTTTTATTTGAGGTAAGAACTGAGACCTTAAACAGTATTTAAAGGAGCAGTACGTGGTGCTTATGAAAGCACCATGCCATGCAGACGTATGGGAGAGCACAGAAACAGCTACACGTATTCTTAACCTCGACGACAGATGAAGTTGATTGAACTTCACAACCCAGTCGCTTTATCCCCAGTGAAAGAAATTTGGCACTGACTGGATATGAGGCAGGGTGGACCCCACAGACTGTAAGACATCTGTATAGAAGAGAATGATCGTGCCCTACCGGGAATCAAAGCTCGGACGTCCAGCCCGTATCATAGTAAATAAGACTGAGCTATCCCGACTTTCAGAGAGTACCGTTTCTGAAGCAACAATTTCGAAAGAGAAATTGTTATCACATTTTTCAGAATTCTATCACAATTTCTCACTTCCACATACTCTAGGAAGAGTTAGAATGCTGAATTTAAATTTCATCACGATTAAAGATATGTACTCTGAAATATAAAGGAGTATGCACTTCTGTTTGAGCGCCTTATTTCAGGCAACTTCTCCGACTGCAGCGTGAGACGGTATAACAAAACACGGCATGGTAGGCGCCAGGCTAAATTTGGAGACCACGGAATGGTAACTTTGGAATTAAACTATGAATCACTCCTGTAGGTCAATAAGTTCTTGATTTGTAAGTCGCGTGGATACGGAGCGACTCGTGACAGTTAAGTAGTACACAGGATCAGCTGCTGCAGTTTCGTGAGCATAAAAATTCAGTTACCAACGCATATTTATACATAGAGCTTTACTAATCAAGCGGTCACGATCACTCGAGACATAAAGTTCTGCATATTTATTCTAATTAACTGATGTAGCATTACTAATCAAGCGGTCACGATCACTCGCGACATAAAGTTCTACATATTTATTCTAATTAAATGACGTAGCCAAGTTATTGAAAAAGTAGTAGTCACTCAAAGAATCAGGCAATTATTATATGGTTCCAAGATATATTACCGTGTTTACATGAGCTCGTCCTGTCCTGGGCCAGATGAGTTCAGTAAACGTATTCGATCTTTCTTCCTACAATATATCGATTTCATTGGACAATATGTGTTTATCACTTATAAATTATTACAAAAAACTACTAACTACATCGAAACGTCACATGAAGGAAATTCAGCGCAGACTTGTAATACTAATAACTAATACGCAAATGTGTAAAATTTTAAACACCTGGAAACTGAGGTAGGAAGTCATAATAATATCGCTCAGGATGAAATTAAAAATATGGATTCAAAAAAAGATTATTAGTCAGCCGAAAAACTGATTTTCTATGGTCTGTTTTCCAAGACACTAAATACTGAGATACAAAATGCCCGAAAATGAAGTATACCCTGAAATATTAACCATACGAGTGTACATGTTTTTGAAACATTCTGTATTATTATCCAGTGTTTTAGTGGTTGATCAAGCATGATATTTTATTCTGAGCGAACAACACAGACTACAGAACATACTTTTTTCAGATGTATTTTTAGTTTTAATGACGTTTCACCCTATTTAAACACGATATATAAAAGTACTAAATGTAAAACCTTAAACAGAACAGCTAGATACTTTGTACATTACGTTCTTGAAGAAAATACAGTCGGTGTAAATAGAATTACGTGATACGAGGAATAATGCACCAATTAACCCCTTTTACAAGGAATCATGTGATAATCACGCACTCTGAAGCGTCTACGTACAATGTCTCGCTGAAGAGACGCATAAATATTCCAAGCGGCGTGCAATTCTCTGCCTGAGCACAGTATTGTCAAGTTCCATACATCAACTATTTCTTGAACATTAACAATGCAGTACATGTCGCAATGCAATACTGCGCGATCCATCCACAGTCGCTTTTGAATCCAAATTTACGATGTCGGGGTACGCGGACAAGTATTGCTGGCGTGTGCGACAGACAAGTGTGAAGTGTGTCCAGGGTGCATAACAGCAAGGGAAGGGTGAAGGTTGATGGATTCTGTCCCCCTTACAAAACTACCCCGCCTTTTTTTTCTCTTCCTTCCTGCAAATGGCTTCTCTGCGGCTGCCAACATAATAATACTCATTTATATAGCTTTCTTTTGGTAACATTCAATTATACTTTGTTCTCTTTGCGTTAAGAGCATGTCAGTGTGTTAAATCAGCCCTCTATTCTGTTGATGATCTAAGTCTTCCAATGCTCAGAGAAAGTAGCAGAAATATAATTTGTCCTGTTTCTAGTTTCCCTAACTTACTGTGTTTTTTAATATGTACCAAGGCCTCACTAAAGTATTTTAAACTGCCTTTTGATGTGTTAAATGTTGCTGCTTTTGTTTCAGATGACATATCTTAGTAAAAATTTCTCTTAGTGACGTTATTTATTTTATTATGTGGTTGTAATATATTTCCAAATCACTGCAATGGTCAGAAATTACCTATCTGAATTCTAACACTTTCTTGATAATTATATTTGTCAAATTATCATGAAACTGTAGTGATGGTCAGATCGTGTGCAATATTTTGTTAGTCATCTTATTATTCAGATAACATAATCATACGAATCGATTATATGTATTTATAATTTTCCTGTTAGATGTCAACTAACTATTATTCCTAACTTCTGTTCTCAATTTCATTCTCTTATTGATGTATATATCATGGCATTTCCTTACAGTTTGAATTTATTATGGGCCAGCCATTTTAACAAAGGTTGAAATCGGAATACAAGTGCCAGCGTAAAATATTCGTCCCCTCATGTCGGTAAATTTACTGTATAAACTGCAAAACATATCACACACATCTTAGTCAATGGACGACGTTCAAACTAAACGCATTTTAATGGAAGCTAATATGTTGGTATATCGGCGGAAGAAAGTTGACTCCATCTGTTCAATTGGTGGAAAATGTATGTTAGCTATTGGTACCACTGTCTTCCATTACATTACTCCCCACAGCTAAGTGAATTCCCCACGTCCTCTGAATCTCTGCCGTTAAGATGCAACAACAGCCTGATCAATCTTCGAACTTCCGTCACGGAGTACAGTTCCCTTGCAAAACAGGCACAAGTCATCTGTGTGTTCCAACGACCAGGGACGGGTATAGTTTATCTGCTTCAAATGTTACAGACATCTGAGACGTCAGCTTTGTCAGGACATCCTTGGACTTTATGTCATCCAAGACGTTAAGTGTTTTAAAACAAGAATTAAGGGAAAAATTGTTGCTGCATTCGAAATTCGAACCTCAGACCTCTGATGAAGTGCTGTTGCGTCACAGACGAGTTACGCAAGTGATTTAATTTTAATTGAAACGTTTTTCAATCATACGAAAATATGTGAGAACATAAACGATGTTCACAAATAATATTAATCAAATAGATAAGCAAAATAAGTAAATAAATGTACAACTTTTCTTCCTTTCCCTCCTCTCGGGTTTGTTGTTAGTTCACTTACTGGAAATCTTCTTTATATATCAAACATGATAAAAGTACAAACAGGGGCTGTTTGTTCTCTTAAGGATGGGCTAGTAATGGAGCCCAAGATCTCAAAGCGTGCTGTGAGGTAACACATCGGTCACTTGGCGCCTATGTCACTGTGAAATGCCTGCAATAAATTTCTATTTCTTTCTACTGATCTCCTCTAACGGGCGACATAGATGAACGTTCTTTGTGATCGATCGATACGATAACGCGTAGTACCGGTCTCTAGACACCATCCACCAGAGACGGCAGTGACGACGCGCGGTTTGACTTGTGGTAAGAAAAAGCATGGACTTCGCGCAACACCTACCGACCCCCATTGCTGAATATTTAGAACTACTGTTTTTTATGAAAGACCAGAAACATGATACTCTAAGCATTTTTCATTCGAGACAAATGATACGATAGTACCTTACAAAGGGCTATCACAGGTTCCTTCCAAATGCTATCCATTCCAACTATCTGCCATATCGACATACGGTGTTACAGAAGCTACTAAAAAATAGCATCCGATTCATCTGATCAGCCAGAAGGTACCTTATTCCTCAACAGTCTGAATCCTTTACTGTCGCAAGAGATAAAATATTCCAAAATTGTATACAGTGTAAACCTTGAAGAAAGGCCGTGTAGTCTGGTAGATGTTTGCCGACGAGGCACAAATAACTCTAAAGACAAGAAACCACTTGGAATACTTAGGCGTAGAAAACAATATTAAAAAGGCTCAAAATAAACAGGGTTTGACGGTATGAGCTGGATTCAACTGGCTCAGAACTTGGTCCAAGGAACGGGCTTTTGGGAGTACTGCACTACATAACACCATCGCCATGTGGCGGTTATGGACAAGCGAGTAGATAATGATAATGAGAATGACAATTAGAATTATCATAATTAAATATCTTAAATGGCTCACTACTGTCATGAACAATAAGAAACATCATGGAGGAATAGTAAATTCTTCTGCATCTGTTCTAAGTGAAACTACGTCAAAGGAGATTTTGTACGGAAACAGATCACGCCTCGAGTTTCCAATCCTGCGGATGTGTGACGAGATGTTCCCAGAAATTGCGTTCCCTTTAAAGCAAACATCACTGTGACGTAAAAAGATCGCGAATGCCAGAGAAGACGCAGAGTGACGTGCGGGTTGCTTTCGACAATGACAGACGAAGTGACAGGCTGCCTTGGGAATATTTTATCTTCTACTTGTTTAATTGTGTGAGGAAAGGAATCAGAGCACGGAGCAAAGCATGGGAAAGGTTAACTTGGATGTGAAACGTAAGTACATTCTGTACAGTCAGTCACGAATTTAGTAGGATGCTAAATCACATCAGATTGGCGTTCGTCAGAGATTTACGGTGCAAGGCAGTGACGTCGCCAGCATCGATCTGGTGCTTGCGTCGCTCTTGCATGAACGCTTCCATCATTTGCAAAGCTAATTTCAGCTGGGAGTCAGTGTTGGATTCCGTGGCCCATTTCAACGTAATTATCAGGTTGGCCGAGCCTTAACTCGACTGGTACCCCCCTTCGAATCTCAGCCGGAATACCTGTTACCTAATTAGAACTTAGCCAAATAAATTTTCTTCGACGAGGAACACGAAAATTGAACGACGAGATTCCAGGTTCTCACGGCGGCCAATATAAAATGGTGGCCTTCTGGGCATTTCGCTTGTAATCTCGTAGAAGCTGACCGACACTTCAAGGTAGTAAGCACCTATAAAACGTCGGTCAACTTCTGCGGTACCACACGGCTCAGTATCTCTGAAAACTGTTAGCTTCATCATCTGCGGCACAGGGAATTACAGTCGTCACTGAATGGTTGATACCGACGTTTCGGAGAAACACATTCAGGGCTGAAGATTAAGGCAGAATATTATTTCAAACGGTGATACCTATTTGGGGGGTCCTCACGGCGTTACAAGATCAAAAAGACCAACATCCACATATTCACCGCCGTAAGAACATCGAATGTTTGGGAATCAGTGTTCCAATGTAGGCTGGATCTTGTATCATACACTATGAAAGGCTTCAGGAACTAAAAGTCGATATAAAGATACAAACGGAACTACATTCTGTAACATATACCGTATAGAATATAAAGATAAACATTACTAATATAATGATAGTAATCAGAAATTATATTGTTGGCATTTACCAAACTGGACACCTATAGTTTTTGTGTCACGCAAGGTTGATCTCAGTCAGTTGGTCTTTATACGTAGGTTAATGTCTCTATCACGTGACTTTGTAGGGTGATTATAAGCATGGCTGGTTCTCAATCACTGCCATACGCTCATAAAAGAAAAAAAATCTTTTAGATTTACGAGACAATCAACAGTGCGTATTATTAACTCCGATGCTAGATATTAGAAGTCAGGTTAGAATATGTGAGGTAATGCAGAAGGAAGCCATCTTTATGGCACTTGACTCGCTGTGTCTCAGCTCCTGAGCATTTGTGTCTAGCTTTTATATCCTCTCCCATGTCCTTCATAGAACTCTCCTCGTCGTCTTACAAACTCACTGGAGGGAACAGACTGACATTTAATCTGATATAAGACAGGGTTACGAGGAGACAGTTTTCTTTTATGAACGGTCTGTATACCTACGTATAGAGGAGCTGGTTCCCAAGTTTTAACAGCGAAATATATAGTTCGTTCACTGATAAAGTTGAACGCAGCAGTCACTTCCCAGCACCTAGCAGGAACCGCTATAATATACAGTCCACGACTGTAATCTTGAGACTTGCAAGGAATGTAGGAAGTCCGTAGCGTCAAAGGCAGACGCTATCTGTCCTCCTTCCTCCTTCACCCCACTTCCTCACCCCGCAAGTCTCAAGATTACAGTCGTGGACTATACTATATAACATATATTTTATTGTATTCATGGAGCGATAATTGACTCGCATCGGGTGAGCCTATAACGCTTGGATTCAATCTGGAGGCTTCGGGATACGAAAGAGAAATGTTAACGGAGCAACTATGACGTTCAATGCAGAGCAGAACAAAAATATATACCACTTTTAATCGTAATTAATGGTGACGTAACACACTGCAGTAAGGGCGAGGCTTCATGCGAGTTATATTCCAAAAATTCCGCGGTGTTTATAAGGAATTAATAATTTAGAAATGTTACCACTGCAAAAGAAAATGGTTGCTCTTTCCATCGTGACCGAAATACTGAATAGAATTAGTGACAGCAGACTGACTACCAGCGCTGTCAGTGTGGTGTTGTCGCTACCAGCAGACATTTACAAGGAGTAACTATTTTTAATGCAGAAGTTTCAACCCCCCTTTTCTTATTCTTCTCATTCACAATGGGGAGTCGCATTACAGGTCCGAGCGAGCCATTAGTGAAATTGAACAAGCAACGCTCCTGGTGGGAGAACTCGTCATAACTAAGATTGCACTTAATGGAGGCCTAATGCAAAATTACTTCCACACTGACACGCCCGTCTTCCGACTGCGTCTTAGGGACAAACAGCATATTTAAAATACACGACGTTTCGGGAGATCGATTTCCCCCGTCTCCAGGCAAGTGTCTAATTATCGGAACACAATACGAATTTAATATTGGTTTTCACGTTAGACTGACTGTTCTTACTAACATAAAAAAAATATAAACAAAAAGCTGAAAGTTTTATGAAAGCCAGTCTTTTGAAAACGACCCAAATTCCGAAACTTCATGTAAATCAGGTAGGTCTAGGCCTGTAACTCAGACAACCGACAATTTATAATACGCCGTAATGTAATACAGATGGGATACTGAAAACATCCGAAACGTCGTGTAACAATGGCAATGCTAAACATAAATATGGTAAAATAAATCAACAACAGCTGCACAGCCCTTTGGAAAAATCAGTACGTTAAACAGAACGAGGGCTAGTATTGACTGATTTATGATTCTTCTGTAAATATAACTTCAGAGTTCACAGTTTAGTCTTCAGGGTTGTGACACAATATAATCTTGTAGGTTATATTAGACTTAATTTAAATATTAAACACTTTGCTGTCAGAGGTTTATATAAGTGGCGATGAAACATCAACTTGTCTTTATGGGGAAGCTAGCAAACCACGCTGAAGTCCATGAAGTACAGTACTTCTTGAGGAGCATGGAACGGAAATTCAACATGTTTTATGCAACCAGGAGATTATTATAAGAAGCCAGAAATGGAATCGATCCTAAGCCAGACAAGTCAGGTCCACATCGTCACATTCTCCTTCCTTACGATGCACACCTCAGAAATACGCACTGGTCTCCCACGAAATCTCTTACCCACCCGTTTCTAATCTAGCATTCTATATACATTTTCATATCCCTCTTTTGTTCTTCATGCCCAGTCAATCTCAACCTCTTTGATTTAATCACCCGAATGGCATTTGGTGAAGATAACAAATATTGAAATCACGATTTTCTCCAGACTCCTCTTAATTAATCTCTCCAAGGCCCAAATATTATCCTCAGAAATGAGACTGACTTAAAGAAACAACTTATTCCATGTAAGATTTGAGGTTTGCACAGCGGTGAGTATGAAGATTTCTGTCTTCTGGGTTGTTGCGCTGTGTAGCCTGGTCGATGTTTACCAACGTTTCAGAGGTCATACTGCCTCCATCATCAGGGCGATTCATCACCTCTGAAACGTTGGTAAACACCTAGCAGACTACACAGCGCAACAACCCAAAATACAGAAATCTTCATACTCATCGCCCTGATGACGGAGGCAGTATGACCTCTGAAACCTTGGTAAACATCGACCAGACTATACAGCGCAAGAACCCAGAAGACAGAATTCTTCATACTCATCGCCCTGATGATGGAGGCAGTATGACCTTTGAAACGTTGGTAAACATCGACCAGACTACACAGCGCAATAACCCAGAAGACAGAAATCTTCATACTCATCGCCCTGATGACGGAGGCAGTATGACCTCTGAAACGTTGGTTAGCATCTACCAGACTACACAGCGCAACAACCCAGAAGACAGAAATCTTCAGTTTATTCCACGCAATTTCACTGCTGATCACATATAACTACATCTTTCTGTCATCAAGTTTCTAAGTTTCTACTTCAGGATGAGGAGAACAGAATATTCTACTAACCCGTACAAAAAAAGTTATTGAAATAAAACAAGTTGTAAATGGAAAGGGAATTAAACTATTCATGTTTTGCGGGAATGTCAGTATATATTATGTCACTACCCTTTTACTGCGAACCTCGACGTCAATATTTACACAGAGGTCAGGACAGTATTTTTAAAGTTGGCAACGAAAGGAATTCCCCGACGCCGTGCGATTGCAGTGGCCTGGCCTCGTTACGTAAGCAGAATAACTCCCCCACGCGTAGCTGGGGGTAATTGCGCTCAGGCCAGCTGACCACCCCCCCCCCCCAAATCCTTATTCCACCTGACTATTCGCCACACATTATGACGCGATTGGTATTTCGGATTTCAGGAGCAGAAAGAGGTCAACCAGTGATTCCTACTCCACAGCAATTCGCTGCATTGTTTACAATGGAAATAGCGTAGGGATATTTAACTTGTATCTTTCTGTGTTTGTGTGTGTGTGTGCCTACACTGCGTGCTAACAGAAACAAGTCCGAGAGCGAATATAAGAGATCCACTTGGCTCAGTCGATAATCGTAAGTACTGAGAACTCAACTCATCACGCAGTTGATGACTTTCTCAAATAATCCCGTAACCTGTTGGAGAAATCATTTGCACGTAAAGATGATTGTCTTGTGCGATGCTGCGCCTTGTAATCTGGTAGACACTGGCCGACGTTTCAGAGGTTCTTACGGCTTACATCGTCAGGGTAATCGCGATCCCAGAAGACAATATTCTTCATAGTCGTCGCTGTGAAAACCTGAAGTATCACCAGTTACAGTCTTCTGCACTTTAGGGTCCGACAAGAATCATCCTCCTTCAATGCTTTCTTGACAGACACGACTGTATTAAGATCGATGGAATAGTTACTTAATGACTAAAGACGATGGTATCAACTATACAGTAGGCAGATGTCTGGTTGTCGACCTCGAGGAAATGTGGATGTCCCCACTGCATGATGGATTTCTTCGAATCTGGTTCATAGCGGTGATTCTGACTTCCTTTACTAATCATCAGAGCAGATAAGTTTCCACTGAACATCCTTCCTTCTATGCATGCATCCATGCATCTGCACAAAGCCATTAACTTTACAGCGCAGTTCTTAGACTTTTTATAACACTGTATTCAAGTGTCTATTGCTGCCTTGCTTTACTGTTGAATAAATGTCACACGTCTTCACACCTTGTGCTTCTCATGTTCGCAGAAACACTCCCAATACAATAAAACATACAACATTTTCTGCCGTTAGCCCCTTTGATTCTGAATGATAGAAGATAACGGGCTTGCTCGGACATGTAAATCATTCTGGCGTGATTTTGGACGACCCTGAGCCAGACATATCGCGTAGTGCAACTGACGGCAATTAGCCACGTTAACTAACCCCTGTGAACCACCCAGGAATAGGCCCAAGCAAGCACTCGTTGCCATGACAACAAATGACCCCCCAATTCTTCAGCCTCAAGCCACAAACACTATTCATAGGTGTAATTATATTAAAATTATGTGCCGGTCCGTTATATTCTGAAAAACAAAAGACAGTGAACAATGACGTAGGAACCGCGAATGAAAAATATTAAATTTCTTTCTTAATTGTATGTTTGTGGTTTAACGGAGCCGTCAGTAGCTCAGACTACGTAGTTTCGAGTAACAGATAATGAGAAATACAATGGAGAGACTTGAACCCGAAACGTCCAAAATACTAAGCAGTAGACCTAACTACTCGACCACGACTATAGGTCACTTACTTGTTAGGGTTTCAGAGATTTTAGAAATGTTTTAAGACTTCAAGGCAACCCAATCTGTCCGTTCTAGTCACCAACAGGTCAGACGCAAGAGTATATAAATGACCAATTCCAATTTTTTGGATCACATATTTTCCAAATGCGTTATCAGGATTTCACACACTTCTGAAGTTCTATGTTAATCCTACAACGAAACAACATTTTGAAGATTCTATCGTACTTAATGCTTCAACTGCGCTACTTATTAACAGTTTTACACTTAATGAGTTTGTTTGTGTCCTGATAATGAAACACGATCTTACATCAATTTATCAATTTCAAAATATAATTTTGCATATAAAACAGTACATAAGTCCAAATTATCATTAATGCTACTTTAATCCGAATTTAAATTCTGCAATTAAAACTTGTGTAAGTAGAAAAAGTGAAAGTCGATTTATATTAAATTGTTTTAATTTTAATTATGTTCTGCCCTCACTAATGCCATATACATGTTTTATCCTGTATATTCCTATTATATAACAACATATAATAGAAATCGACCAGGACTACTTTCTCTTCGACCTCGTAAACGAATTAGTAAATTTTCAGAGTTCAAGCTAATCAAACATGCCAACTTCACAATTCCGATAATAACTTCGACGAAACACTTCAATGTTTCAAGATTCAAGACAGAAATAACTTTTCATAATGGAGTGCGCCAAGGCCTTAGGCAAAACTTAGGAGCGAACAGAGAGCATCCAATCGAAAGCTGACGATCAGTAGGCGTACAAACACAAAAGAGAATGCGAAAGATCCCAATCGTCCTCTTCGTGTCAAGGTAAGTTATTAATATTCTGACATTTGGTCAAGGTAAAAAGAAATACAGAAATGAATATCAACGACGAAAAGATTCACTCATTGCAGCTCATCCACAATGTGACGGAATTAATTTAAGGACGAATAATAAGAAGTTAGGAAATAGAAGCATTGCCTAGGTTTTTTAAATAAGAATTTGCTCTCTTATTGTCTCTAGGTTTCCATTGTTGGCCTTTGTGTACATTTGTCTCCACGGCAATCAGTGGCAAGTTACGAGCGAGTTGCTTCAGAAATAATTTTAGCAAAATTTCTCATCATATTTAATAAATATACGGCTTCCGATTTTCGGGTTCATACATGCCTTCGAGAAGACAGCTGTAATTAACTCCACACTAGTGATTCTTCCCTGTAAAGTTGATAGGTATCATCTAGTCAAGAAATTTCACGCTTTGTGGAAATCGAAGATTCGTTACCAAGTTCACGAAACCGCTGCATTTAACATTTCTGATCACGTCGTTAGAGATTCGAACCAGGTACCTTCCATATGCAATCAAAACTTGTCAATTTTCCACAAAACTTCTGTGGATAGTCAAGGTACGGTATCAGTATTTGTACGTATATATAGACAACGCCACAAATCTCATGCCGATTACTGGGAGAGATTTATGAATCTGAGAAAAGATTTACGGTAAATTTCGTGTACAGTCAATAGATGAAAGCAAAGATAATACTGAACACAGAAATACAACGCCGCTAAGAAACAAAGACCCGCGAACGAATCATGATTCATTATACTCATACTATGCCCAAAGAAAAACCCATGAGAGATTTAAGGGGAGTAGGAGATCATCTGAACTTAAAATGTAACAACCTCCATGGTACAGAGTCCTTCAGAATTTGATAGTACGCTCAGCTAGTCAAGAATTTTACCGGCGTGTATAAAATCCGTATTCACAATAATCCCATGCCGGTCCCTAAAGTGAAGTAGATGAATCAGGTCCACATCTACGCGTAGGCCTTCCTAATCGTCTCTTTCCTTCATGCTGTTAAAAATTAAACAATTCTAACCTCCCCCATGAGTGCCAAACGTCCCGCAGAAAATTTTGATGCCCAAAGGTATAACGTCCATACCACGTTCTGTAGAAATCTGTCAATTAATTGAGACGAGTTTCGCGAGCACGCAAACATAAACAAACAGACAGACAAACAAACAACAAGGTTATCATAGTAGCCAACTTACTTTCGTTCTTATAAAAGAAAACAGGCTGAAATGGACAAATACAGAACACCGGGTCTAACTACAACATTTCGATAAAAACACATAACCAGACAATACAAACAAAGGATATGTTAAGAAATGTTCAGGAAACAAGGAGAAATAGCTCTGGCGTTTCTATGAATACATTAGCGGGGTGGATAGGATTGGCATCAGTGGGGTGGCCTTTGGCTCGGACTAGTACAAGCCTGTCCTCTACGCGTACCAGTCAAACAATGTTTTCCGCAAATATCTCAAGAAAAGAAACACACTGGAGGATACAGCCTTTAATGACCTTATTTTATATAGAGCAGAACGGTTAAATTGGAGACAACAGATTTAGCTGCATTTTCTGGGATTCGTTTACAAAAACAAAAGTCCATTCAGTTAACAAGCAAATCAATAATAACACGGAGGGAAAAAATAACACGATTTAGAATCTCTGTACATGCAATACTAATTAATTTTGTAAAATAAAGAATAAATTGTATGAATAATGTTTTATTGCTGATTAGTTTACCATGATAAAGACTAACACCCATTCAATTTGTATAATAATGTCCAGTACACATTTTCAGTAAAGAAATGTATTCAAAATCCATACGGCCAGAGAAGATTCCATACATACAATCATGAAATTTTAACTGTAACTTTCTTATACGTGCCAAAAAGTAGAAACGTTATATAAAATTATACAAATGAACATTTAACACTTTTACATTGACGCGCGTCTGAAAATAACCACCGGTTATAAATATAAAGGATTAATTGGGTAAACATTACTTATTCCGTGGCTGTACAGTCCTTGAAGGACCTTGACCTATCCATATATGGACGGTTTCTTAATTTGTTTATTTTCTAAGAAATTGAAGATTATATTTTCGAAATCTTTATATGATGGCGTGTTTTCATTTGAATAGGTCCATCCTTGTTCTGCTTGCTAGAAAATTTTTAAATCAAATAAATCACTGTAATTCAGAGGTATATGACTCATCAGAGCAAGACTTTAAGAGGTTCGAATCCCGAAAGTGATAGAGCACAAACTATCACAATCATCATTAACAACAAAATGTAGATACAAGGCATGCCGTCGACTCGTTTCGACTCGGGCGTCCAAAATATCTGTAAATGGGAGATTTGTATTTTAAAATTCTCTGGGTAATCTACTTGATTCGAGCATAAGCAGATTCCTAACACTCCTGTATTCGTGGATTTTTTCTTCCAAATTACACATGGTCAAACAGGGTATGTTCAGACACCAGTCGCAGAAATGTTGTTTATGCTGATCGAGCTACCCTTCCTTCTGTTCTACTGAGAGCCAGTTTTCACATCAACCGAACTGCCATAACTTTATAAAAAGTTGTCTGTGTTGTTATTCTACAAAGTATAAACTATGATATTAATTTCGGTCCGGTTAAAGGTTATAGCTACGAATGCTTGTCGTGATTTACCTAAGTGTCTCCAGAATGTCATCCTGATCCATGAATGCAACTTCAGTAGGTTATTATGAAATTTTGCCATGTCATTTAAAATTACGCCTTTTTTGTGTCGGATATTGACCTTCGTCTAAAAAAAGTGA